TTCACTTTCTTATGGTTACTACTAATTATTTTAGACCTTTTTTCCTAGTCTTGTTTAAGAAAAAAAAAGTGTGCTTGGCCTCATCCAACATCAAGCTTTTATGGTAATAGTACCTGTGATCAAGCCTTTTCTTTAGGCCTCTTGCAGGAAAGTATACATTTTTTCTAAGTGTGAGTCTGAAGGGAAATTTTTGTTCCTTTAAAATTGGAAATATGCGCATTTCTTTGAGGCCTGTTCAACTTTCTGCATTTATTTTTATTAAGGTGTTAATGTTACATGAAGGTCTAGGGCATACTTTGAAGAAAATGCTTTTGTCTCTGGTTTTCTTTGGTCAGTAATGATGAGTCTGTGACTTTCTCTCCAGGAGACACTTTGGAAAGCCAGAAGAGACAAAGGTAGTCATTCATGTACTTCTCAGTCAGCAATTACACAAAAGGTTCTTGTAGCAAATCAACCTGGCTCTTCTCAAATAAGGTAGTGAAACCGACTATCCCCCTTCCCCTTGCCTTGGAAACTACTTCCTGTGTATTCTTAAGGCTTGGTGTTGCTCTGTTTGCTACTGGCTTTTGTGCCATGTGTTGAATAAGAGCTTACTGTCACTACAAACTAATGAATTTTCTTCTCGAGCCTGGGTGGCAGAAACCTTTTCCACAGATCTGTGACTCTATTTACATTTGTGTCGTGTTATCCAGAGCATCGTATTATACACGTGCTGAGTATCATGTGTCTGCGGTGGATTTTGCCTTTCAGTTCTACCTTGCGTGCATTTTGGAGCCTGACCTTTTAAATACTAAAGCTGAACTGATTCACAGAATTAATCAAATGCTGATACTGTAGCAGTTAGTATCACAGGTTAACTGCGACTGATGCGGTGTTTGCCGTTACATTCTTTCACTTTTTTCTTTTTTTTTTTTTTCTGATTTGATCAGAGTTTCGTTCTTGCCACTTCCACCTATATTGTGCCTTGAAAATGTTTAAGAAGTGACAGACTTTAGTATAGTAGAGTTTCCTTATTTGCGTCTCATTCATCTATTCATTTTATGTAATCCTTTTACGAGGAACTACACAGGTTTATAAAGGAGGCCCAAAATTGGATTTATGTGTTCTACAGTTAGTTTTTGTCACTGTTAAGAGTCAACTTTTCCAACAACTCGCTAAAGCCAGAACAGTCTGACATATGATACTACTGTTCTAAAGGCTCTGGTGTTTTGTGGAGGTTTTTGTTGTTTGGGTTTTGAGGGGAGCAGGGGGGGCAAGATGAGGATCATGATACTGTCATTTCTTTGCATGGGAATAGCACATTTTATGCATTCTGCATTTGGACCTCTGTATACTAAATATCCTAGGTGCAGTTACCTCTGAGCAAGAAGTGAAATACAGACACGTAAGATAATCTTCTAGTACATGATTCCAGTGAAAAGTGAGAGAAAGGAACCTTGGTGATCTCTCTCCTTGGTGATACCTCTCTAGCTACTAGTGCTTCCTTAATATTTGCCTACTTCACATCTTGATGAAGCTAAAGTGTCTTTGAGGTTGTAGGAAAGAACATTCATCATACCTGACTCATGTATGACTGCACTTCTTTTTTTAATCAGGGACTACTGTTTTTGATACTTTCATACTTGGAAGGCAGATGTATATGCAAAATGGTTGGTGTCCTCAGAGTTCTGGGCAAGATTTTTAGTAAGCTGATGGGGAAGGTCCTGGTTTGGTTGCTGGTCAAAACAAGTAAATAAAAAGAATATTTAGTTCATAAAGAGAGTGAAGATCTACTAAAAACCAAAGCACAACCATTTCAGTTTTTTTGTTGTTTTTTCTTTTTGGTCAAACAGATAAAACAATAGGTACAAGCAGTATGGGGAAGGCAGAACATGGGGTGAATACGTGAGCCATAATTCAGCAGTCGGCAAACAAAGGGCATGATGCCAGACAAGTTCAGCCATAAAGGAGCCTTGTCTTGGGGGCAGGCTGTGGTTGTTTGTGGACAGATGGCTGCTCACCAGTTCATAAAAATAACTTCTGGATAACTTTTCCTCAACTGTGTCGTATTTACCTGAACTATGCCTGCATCAGAAAAGACATGATTAAGTTCTTTAGTGTTGAAGAGGTTTTCTTCACCTGAAAGGGATGCAACTTTGATTTCTGAAATCTAATCCCTTGTGTTGATAACAGCAAAATGTTTTGTACACTGAGAAGGAAGAGCGCTGGGTAGCTTAGTGCTGCGTGATAAGAGAACTTGCTTCTAGCCCTGGAATCAGACTGGTGATCTGTGAAGATGCGGTAACACACTGGGAATTTGCATTTTGTTGAGGTTTGAATTGCTTTCTGGAAGCTTGATTAAGTAGGTAAAGAGACAATAAAAGTGGACCTCCAGGTTTGTAAAATCTAGACACATTTCTACACAGTAGCTTTTGTGCCACAAATGACGACACCATTGATGTATAGCACACAGTTTTGTGTTTGAGAAGACAGAACTTGACCACAGGCAGCCAGTTCGCTCTTGTAGCAGGTATGAAGGATATGGAAACTATCAAGAGAGGGGCCTCTTGCCACTGACTTGATGTCTAGACCTCATATTCTGGCTTTCACATCATCTCATTTGAGTTTCCCTCCTCTTTCTGTCACATTTTACATCCTATCTTTCCTGGATTCATGTTCTACTTTACTGTTTTGCATTGGTCTTAAAAGTCCCAGAGCATTTTACTGTAATATTGGAGTAGAATATTAAAGATAGCATTGCAATACATATCTAAGAGAAAAACAGCTACTGCTGTAAATGAATCCCTTGTGGAAGAGGGAAGTAGAACTTCCTTTTATTTGTTCCCTTGGGGAAACAGAGATATGAGTAGCCAGTTGGTGGCAGTCAGTTTGGCCACTTCCTCATAATTTTTTTTTACTTGTTAAATACATGCATAAATGTACATGTGTCTGTTAATTTTTTATATATATATATATATATATATATATATATATAATGCAAACATAATGACCATGCAACACAGTAAGCTGGTGTACATACAAGTTGGTGTCTCTGCATCTATGCCTAAAGGTTTCCTGACAGGCAGCTTCCATCATGCAGTTATTAAACTCTACATGTGCAGCGGATTGAGTATCACATGCACAAAAAGACTGGATTCATGCAACACAGATTTATGCATGTGATTTAAAGTCCTCTGGGTAATTGAGACATGGTGCCTAGCATCTCCAGGATCCTCAAGGCAGCCTTACGTACAGGTGCAGACAGACACTGCACAGATGGTAAGAGTGAAAAGATATTAAAGTGGCTAAGTTAAGCACTCAAAAGTTACAAAATGCCAGAATTAGGAAATGCTTGTGCAATCTTAATTCCATCCATACATCTATCTATTGCTTCGTAATAATCTTAAAATAGACCCATACCTTTACCCCCTCTCTGTAAGATGATTGGGTTTTATTCAGTGTATTAAATGAGTCTGCTCTGGGGATGAATTAGAGTGCATGCTGAAGGAGAGTGTTGTCTGTTGAACTCTTACCCTCCTGTGTTCCTGTGAATGCAAGAAGGGAAGACATAATCTCATTGTTAAGGCAGCTGAATGTTGCTTTGGAGAAGTTGATTCTCTGCCAAGGAGTGTGATGCTGGATAAGCCATTTACATCAATCTTTTAATAGTGGCCAGGTCAGCACGACTAATTTGTACGTAAATAGCTACAGTTGTCAGGTGGGTGATGAGTTGTGACTTGTGACCATCATAGCTCTTTGATCCAGATCTTCCAGTGTGCAGAATGCTTTGTTCTCCCACTTGAAAATGTAGAAGAGGAGATGGGGAAATAAATATGTCTGTGGTTGCTAAAATGTTCCTGTTGTAGCTCTTGCATTGTTTTCCTAATTTTTTGGGTTCTCTTACAAATACACATGTGCATCTGCACCAAAGGCTGCTAGAAGTTGTATCCTATGAACACTCAAAGAATATGCAATGTGTAGTACTAGCAAGAATTGGCATTTAGACACTTTGAGACAGTTTAGATCTTAATTTCTGACTGCCTGTAAAATGGGGCTAATACTCCTTCAGCTCACAGAACCGGTGAAAACAGTACCTGTGGACAGTCATGATGTTCTTGCTGTGAGCACTGCAGAAAAAGCAGTTATCTCGTCATTTGGCTCTCTGTCTGCCTTTTCTCTGCTGAATTTAGTACTGTGTCAGCTTTTCTTTTCTTTGCATTTTATTTCACTGCTTTTTACAGCTGGCAGTGTAAGGGTGCTTGTCCTTGCCACATTGTTCAGCATTTACTGCAGTTTGCTTAGTTGCCCTGCATCTGTTGAGAAATAGGGCTGTGGGATAGTAACCCTTGAGGCACACAAGCTTGAACAAAAGTGATCAAATTGGTATGAACTTCTGGGTTTTTGTTTCAGTGCAAGTTGCTGCACAGACTGTTATTTTGCATACATGTGAATTATTTGAGTTAAATTAGTAATTTTAACCAGTTTATTAAATTGAAGACACTTTTACACTGGCATAAGAGCTCTACATGTAATAGAGGAATAGGACAGCCTTAGTGGATGAAGAAGGGGTTGAGAGAAATACTCCATTCAGCTTTTCTTCCTTCTCTTCTTCCTTCTCTGTCCCCATTTGAAAGACTGTGTTTCTTTCTCCCCTTCCTCTTCTCAGCCTTATGAAGAATATAATGCTTACTTTGAGCCACAAGGAAGATCTGGCTCATGGGAACAGGACAGCCTAGGTTGTGATCGGAGGATGATGTTGGCTAGATGGACAAGGGGAGGATGTTCTCTTCATGGCCACCTCTGCCCTTTGCTTTATGCAATTGCAGGCCTGCACAAACTGGCTCAATATGCTGCAGCATGTGTATGTGTAGCCCCAAGGGAGCCCAGCATGATCAAAAGAGGCATGGGGTGGTGCTGGAGCAGGGGTGAAAAAGATGATTGCCTTGACATTTCATTGGTGGCAAGTGGCGTGGAAAATGGAGGGAGAATTGAGAGGGGAGAATGGAGGATAGAACGGAGTGAGTGCAGAGAGCTAGGTAGGTTGTGAGAAAGGAGAACTGGGGAAAGGGGCAGGGAATAGGTAGCTGGAAAGGGGCAAGGGCTAGCTTCTCTGTAACAGTTGAGTCTGGTGATTTTCTGGGGGAGCAAGGGAAGAGGCAGCACAGGTTTCTGTGGTCCGGGGTGGACTGGAAACTCTAGACACTTCCAGCTCAGCCAGTGCCACCCCACAAACCTGACATTTGCATGTCTGCCTTTCCTGTCTGCACATCAGCTGTCTTGGCAGAGCTTCTCTTCTGGGGCCATTTGCCTTAGCAGCAAGCAGCATCAAGACCTTTCTAGGAAAGGAATAAGATTGTTTTATTTGAGGTGGCTTAATTTGCAAAGAGAGAGAGCACATGTGGCTCTGAGATAAGGTGTAGCATGCTGGACCTCATCATGATAGGCAATAATGATACTCCTCTCAAGCACAGGACATGCTCAGTTTTCCTGTTGGAAAAAAAAAGCCACATCTGAGTTGCCCAGAGCTGGTTCCAGCCCATGACTACTGTGGAAAAGTGGTGAATCAGGCCTCGAGCTCAGCTCCAGTGCTGGCAGGGTCAGCACTGTTGGTGTCCAATTTACTTGCCAAAGTTTAGCCATCATTTTGTCTCGTAACTGGCCATATATTTCACACATTTGAAACCTCATTCGTGTTACAGCCAAGTAGAATTAATTTTGAGCACAGCAGAGGCTGTATTTTTAATAAAAGGCTATGCTTATAAATAAACACACACATAGTGGGGGCTCCTACTGAAAGCACAGAAGCAGCAAATTATTGTTGTAGTCTTAAGGAAGGTTATCAGAGAATTCAGTGTTTAATAACATCATAGAAAAGGTGTGATCCTGTAGGATTCTGGATTCTATCAGTTCCTTTTGGGTTTTGACCAGTTTTTGAGGTACCCCAGCACCACACAGAGTCAAGACCCTGAAATCATTAAGCAGAGAGCACAGTGTAGGAAATGAAGCAAGAGAACAACTTGCGTATTCTTACTAATAGCTTTTGTTGCCCAAAATTTGAGTATGTTTACTTTGTGTTTGTGGTAGCTAGTTGTAATAACTCCAGTGGTGGTCTCAGTTGTTTTTATTGAATTCATAATATGTGCTGGCTTTGGATGAGCAGTTTCAAAGACTTCTGCTGATGTGAGCTGGAATTTGTGCTCTGTTTGCTTCATGCTATGTCTTCTGTAACTGCAGTGCTTATATGAACACAGTTAATGGTATGTTGTAGCTTGGTGTGAGAGGCTAAGATAAAACCCCAGCTGTTTCTGAAGATACCGCCTGCTGCTATCAAGAGGTTTAGTTTAGCAATTTTAAGTGTTACAAGGACCTGTAGGACCTATATTTTTGAACTGCTTTCCTGAAGAGAAGGTGGAAATGTATATGCCTGGCTATTTTAGGAATCATTCTTTTGAGTGTGCTTATACTTTATAAAATGCAAGCTCAGGGAACATGGATAATAAAGCTGAATTATCATCCTCGAGTGTCTGTAGATTAAGGATATTGGCCATGAGTGAGTCGTGGCAAAAGCTGAATTAGGTTTAAAATATCAGCAGCAACATCAACGGAGAAAGGATGGCCCGATCAAGTGCCAGCCATGTCATTATAATTCTTAGAGATTCGGGTACAGCTTAAGGTTTGCCTTCTTCACTGACACGCATCAGGCTTGCTCAAGTCACCAGCCAGCCAACTTCCATGATGCCTCCTGCTGACCAGTACATGAAGAAATAGCTATCTGCCAAACAAGTTGTTTGTTTTGTTTCAAAGCCCCAGTGGGCCCAGCCCTTCCTGCCCAGCAGCTGCAGCAGGCTCTGTTCCTGCTTGGTGCCTGGCCTGGGAAGACCTTGCTTGCTGGCCCATGAGAGTGGTTCTCCGTAATTGGCTTGTGGGGAGTGCTGTGTGAGAGGATCTGTTTGGGGTATTTTTTTAGTTGTTTATTAAAGTTTGTTTATTGAAATGAATATCTGGTCACAATGGAAGCATGTTTTTTTGAAGTGTGTGTTGCCAAGAGAGCAGGTTAGAGCACTGATCAGGTTATTGCTTCCTCAGGATTAAAAGTGCACACACAGCTCTGCAGGCCCCGTGGGCAGCATCCCAGTATCTCCTCTCTTTCAGTTGAGCTCTGCCACATTTGCTGTAGTGATGGCTCCCTGCTTCTCCACAGGCAGGATGGTGAGGTGGGAGTTGCTCTGCTTGTGAAGTTTCAAAAAATCAGAAAGGTTAGATCTGTGTTGCCAGTTGCAGGGGCACCAAAGCTAGCTTTAGACAAGCCAATTTGAGTATTTCTGGCAGTCTAACCGATGAAGTAGAGGTGTTTGCATGTACTCATTTATCCCACTGAAAAGTATGCTTGTTTGCCCTTAGATTACTTCTCTGCAATGGTAAGTTACTGCAGAAAGCCAAGTCTGCCTTTTAGTACCCAAGGTGGTTTAGCCAGCTCTGCAGCATATGTGTACCCAGTCAGTTGTGTTCACTAATTAAAAAGTTTCCAAACTGCCAGTGTTGCCTGGAAATTTAAAGTATGCATGTCATATTGAGTTCTTATACCATTCTCACATCAGTTAGGAGGAGAACATGATGCCTATGATTCTGTGCCTGCAGCTGTCGTGAAAAGTGTGGGCAGCAGCCCTAGTAGCCCTTTCTGTTGAGTATGTGCTTTGTAATATCTGTATCATAACATAAACTGTAATGTGTCATCTGGCCTATCTAGGCCATGAGATGGCTCATCTTGTGAACCAGGGAAGGTGGATTTTAAAACCAAGATAATTTTGTTTCAGATTCATGGCTTTTGGAATTGGAGCATCTCATCAGTATACAGTTATACATCTGTATGTTGTAGTTTCTCTACATGGAGTGTAACACAAATAATCTCAGTCTTTCTTAGCAAACAGTTCAGGATGAGAGAATTGTGTGGATGAGGAAATGGCGTGGGAACACACTTACTTACCAGTGAGTCAAAGACTGGAATTCCCTCTCTAACCAGTAAAACTGTCTGGCAAGTTACATGCTCAGAGCTGCAGTGGTTTTGGTTTGTTCAAACACTTCTCAGCGAGACTGGTGTTACCCAGTCTTATGGCTAGGACTGGCTTTGGAAAGCTGAGTGAAACAAATGTTCCTAGGGAGAAGCATGAACTGAAGGCGTGAGGTTAAAACAAAATATCCTTTACTGGCTTGGGAAGAGAAGAGCAGAGTGGTAATTTTTAAATCCTGCTTGTGAGATCAGTGTTACAAGCTTTGAGCATTGTGTAGTTAGGCCTGTGTCTATAGGGACAAATGTGCCAGTGTCCTCGTAGCCATAGCAGGGATTTCTGTTTGGTTTGTGACTTGGCTCAGTCTTGGAGTAGACACCCTTTGAACTTCTTGTTTTTTCTGTAGCTGTCTGTATTAACACCCTTACTGGAGATCCAGACCTGGCACCTCTCTGTGATCCAATAACTCAGCCAGATGAACCGAGATTTCTGAGGAGAGGACTTAAGTTGTACTTCTCTACTTGGGAAAATTCATCAGTGTCCTGTTGCTCATTGTTCTGCATGCTGCAGGTTGCTATGCTGTGGAAACATTCTTGCACTGGCAGTCTTCAGACCAAAAGTGGGGGTCCTTGCCAGCTGCGAGTCCCACCAGCAACCAGGGACTTCGCAGTGCCCAGGGCTTGGGTGTTTCTCCCTCAGGCATGTATGCTGTCAGTAGGGAGAGGATTCCTCACCCCTTCTGTGGCAAAAGGGGTTTGATGTTTTGGGACGGTAAGGATGCATGAATAAACAGGATGGATTGCTAAGCAGTTCAGTGTTGGGTGATTGTCACCACATCAACTGACCCAGCATGGCCAGTGGCTGAAGACTGCTGCCTGCCCTTTGCTATCCATGTGTTTCTGGCTTGCCTTCTCCTGTCTTGCTTCCAGTCTGTCCGATTAAAAGAAATGCTAGCTGAAGAGACCTGCATGGTTGATGCAGATTTTGCTAAAATGCACTGACACATACGTGTAGCTCTGGCTGGTGGTAGCTGTGCATGAATAAACATAAATACTCATGACTGTGATATGGTATCAAGCTACTGTAGATGCAAAGCATGCTTTTTAATAACTCTGTATAGTGAAATAGTTATAAATTCATGACTATGCAGTGTAGACAGGGTCTGATATATCACTCATTTGTACATTTGTAATTAATTGTAATAACAAGATTGTTCTTTGCAAGTGTTCTTTCTTTGCTTCCAAGCACGACAGAGAGCTATAATAATCTCATACCTTAAGCTTGTAATAAAACATTGTTGGTAACCTAGCAAAAAAAATTCTTAATTAAGTTTGCTACACAAAATCCCATAATGCTTTCTAAGATATTTTTTCCCCTAGATTTCTTTAGTGACTTTTACCTCTGAATATAATCAAACCCAAAATTTCAAATGTTTAAGAAACATTTCTGCCTTTTTTTATTTTTTTTCCATCTGGATATAATGGAGCATAATTTAAGACTATGCGAAGAAGAGGAGGTAAATGATGCATGTAATGATTGTTTTAACATTTACAAGAAAATAATTTATTTAAATTGGATTAAGCCTTAATATTATCACACTTTTCTACCTGATTTAACATGGGGGTTGGGGGAAGGGGGAGAAGGCGATTTCATGGTAAAGTGTTTTAAGTATTTAATTCTATTTTTTTTTTGATCATTCAGGCATCCTGCCCCACAGCCATGTAATTTTTCCTACATACGGATGTTCATTGCTGTCTTTTACATTCCCCAGCTGATAGTGAAGAGGTCATGCTAAATCAAACTGATGGAGAAACTGGACATCATCGTTAGCCAGGTTGCCCTAATTAATTCTACCAAAACAAGAGGTAGGGGAACAGCAAAGTATAATTTGCTTTCATATATTACTGTTTTTAAGTATTCTGTTCATCATGTTGGCATGTCTGGTATACATATTCAGAGTGAACAGAGGAAGTACCTGCTTAGGGCATGAGACATCAGGGGCTTCTGGCTTTCTTCTGTCCCTGACAGTTTTCCTGCCAGTCTAATTCTACTGAGAAAGGGTCTCTTGAGTCCAAGTCCAAACTTTAGCATCTTCATCTAATTCTTTTCCCTGTTCCAGAAGAGGAATCAAGTGGGATAAATTCTGTAACCATATGCTCCTCCTGCTTTGAGTCTGCTGATTGTTTTGTTTATAATAGATGCTATTTTGATGAGAAAAACCACCAAACCACACCTACAGCCAAAGGAGCTCCTTCAGTGGCAGAACCAGCAAAGCCTGGTTTTCCACAGGTCAGTATCTCATGGTTTCACAGTCAATTACAGTTGTCTCTTTTTTCCTCCAGTGTGGTCATTTGTTAGGTCTCTCACCCATGTGGATTCCTTAATGTTTTATAGGTTTAATTTTATGTTACAGGATTTGCTTTTTAGTTGTGTCACTTTCAGAATCTCTTTCTTCTTCCAGCTATTTATTCGTTACAAAGAATGTGGGAATTTGACGTATCTATCTGTATCTCTACTTCATTTTGTTGAAGAAAATTAACTAGAAACTTGGTGTGCTATTACACAAACTTCAGTGTCCTAGCAAACCAAGCAAAAGTGGTAGTATCTGGCTAAGTACATTACCTGGTTTGGATTTGTGTTTTAAGTTCATACCTTCTGGGAGAAGTAAGTTTGGATTACTATTTAGTCCTGTTCATTCAGTAGAGCCATTGTCATCAATGGAAGATGTTCTGGCTTTACAAAGCATCCAGGAATTATTATGTAAATTCCGATTAAAATGGCACATTTCCTTCCAGTCCCATTTCCATTAGAGACAATTGTAAGTCACCCATCTCCTTCAAGAAGAGCTAGATTTGTTTTTACAGATGTAATCAAGTACTCAGAAGTTGGGTCAGGCTTATTGTCACCAACATATGCTTAATCACTGCTATGTAAGCCAGAGAAGATTTCCTCCCAGTTCAAGTTTCTGTTTTCACAAAGCTGGGGGAGAGGGTGTGTGTGAAATCTTGTGTTTGTAAATTGACTAATTTACCTCTGTGTATTGTGGTGATACACATGGAATTTCATGATTCCTTTTTTTCTGTAATAGATTCACTTTTAAAACTTAGAAGTACACTTCAAATAAATGAAAGGTTAACTTCTAAACACATTCTTTGTGTGTGCATAAGCTTCTGTTTACTTGGGAAGTGTAATATCAGTAGAGTACTTCTCACTTTAAAGTTTATGAATTTCTTTCTTCTCTTCCTTAATTCTTTGAGGTGTCAGTACTGAGAGAGATGAATCATTTATTAGTGGGAGGCCTGACACATGATGAAATCACTATCTGACACTTCAGTAACTTCCAGTGCTGTTCTGTGAACATTCAGCAAAGTGCAGATGATGTGATGTTGCAGTTCTGTGGGTAGTGCTTTTTTTTTTCTTTTTTTTCTTTTTTTTAATGGATGAAATGCTTTATCATCATAGTGTGTGAGCACTTCCCCATTTGGTATGAATAGCCTTTGCTTATTATTAAGGATGATTCAGAAGCTCTGATGTAGGGGAAAAAATAGAACACATCTGCAACTGGCAGAGAAGATCTTTGTATTTCTCCTGAGAATCTGAAAAAGCAGAACTCATCCACATTTTTTTGAGAGGGGAGATAGACAACAGATAACATTCATGACTTGAGTGTTAAGCCAGTTTGGAGCATTCCTGTTAGGACAGAGCATGCAAATCTCCATTATGTTACAAATGAAGTTCACCTAAGGGGCAATTCTATGCTGGCCAGTGGATTACCCCCTGAACAGGGCAGTGGTCTCAACCCAAAGACATTTAGGGAATAAATTGGCATCTGAAAATAAAGCAATTGCCAATAAACAACTGGCTGCTTGCCAATAAGCCTAACAGTTTTACTTATTTAAAAAGAAAAAAATGTAATTTTAGTTCTAGTGTTTTCAGTAAGAAATTCTGCAAGCATATGGGTTAGACTTTTTGTTCTACTGAACTAACCCCTGACTACATCTTTCTCTCTTCTTCCTTCTTCACTTCCCAGTATAAATGTTTTGGATTTGCTTCCTGCCACCAGCAAACACAACAGTATTTTCAGGGTATTTAGATATTTCCCTTTCTCACACAATTTGAAATCTGGGCAATGTTACTCCTGCTCCTTTCCCATGCCATTTCACTCAACCATTCAGATGTGCTGCTGTGAAATGTCACAGGCTG